CCACGTGCCTTCCTTTACAGATTGCTTACGGTGCCCTGCAACAGAGAAGCCGAGTGGCCATGGCAGAGACCTCATGGCTCTCAAAGCCTAAATATTCATCTTGGGACCCTTTACAGAAAAGTTTTCTGACCACTACATGAAGCTCTTGATTGACACCTTAGTAAGAAGTAGTTTATTGGATGACACCTTAGTAAGAAGTCCATTGATTGACACCTTAGTAAGAAGTAGTTTATTGGATGACATAGTGCAGCCTAGAAGCCTATGACATCAAATGCACATATTTGAACAGAGACAAAGGAGTGATCTCTAGATAATGAAAGCAAGGTTCCCTGCACAGAGGACAGGAGCAACCTGTGAGAGCAGCATTTCTAGTCCATTCCACTGATAAGAGGAAGTTAGGCTAAAGAGACTAAGTGATGGCCCCAAAGCTCAAGCTGATAAATGACAAGGTTGCAAGTCAAATTCTTCTCTGTCCATCACTCTGGGACAGAAGACGGGAGAGGGGCTTGGGAGTTTCTAAGGGCCACATTACCAGCTTTGTAAAAAGCTGTGCCAGAATAACTGTTTTGAGACCTGCGACTGTCCTTAGGCCATGCATTTTAACCCCTCGTTACTCCATCTATAAAGTGGTGCTGAGACTGGCCTCCGGGGGAAGCCAGAGCTCAAGGCACCATCGTCCAGGAAGCAGCAACTGGAGCCCAGGATTCCGCTCCTGTCTCTGCTCCATCCAGTGCACATGTCCTTGATTAAGCTGGTCTGGCAGTTCATTCAAAAATCAACCCATGCCTCCAGTCTGTCCAAACCTGAACCAAGAGTTATCTCATTATCTCATGGGCCAGAGGAAACAAGGTGAACCCAAGGCTTGGGTGGTAAGCCTAAGACACAAAGATGATGTCCCCAACTGTGGCTCCTTACACTAGAGGAGGAAATCTCTACTTTCCCTTCAAATATAATTTAGTCTGAAAAATCACCCCCAACAACCCTTCCATTCAGGCTCTATTTGAGGGTCTCCAGGGGCTCGGATCCTGCATCCTGCAGCCTCAGCCCCCTGTCTTCCTCACGCTCTCCTTTACTCCGAGGCCCCCCCTCTGGTTCCCTGGGACTCCCTGGTCTTCATTCAGGATCCCATTTCCCAAGCAAATGCCCCGAGCCCTGCCCCGGGGAAAGCATGGAGCCCTGGAAGGTGAGGGGGTGCAGGGGCCAGGTAGAGATCTGTGGTGTTGTGGCTGGGCTCCAACCTTCGCTCTATCATGATCTGGCCAGAGACTTGGCCAAAGCCATTTCTCTGGCTGAGCTTTGGTCTCCCCGACAGAGAATTAAGAATCGTACTCTTTGGACAAAACCATTTTGTGGGATTGTTAAGACCAAAAAGAGTTCTAGTGTAGAAGAACTTGGCAGAATTTTTTAAATCATTATCAAGATTTTAATCACTCTGGCAATAGTCATAGCAGTATGACAATTGTCCCCATTGTCATAATGCAAGGGTGACAGTGGAGACAATAGGTGCTGCCATAGAAATGAACATGCAGGGGCACACGCAGGTAAATGCATAGAACTGCACAGGCTGTGCGGCTTGAGATTGGGGCCCAAGGGAGGCGGTGGGGTAGGGTGGAACAGTCCTGGGGGACGAAGCAGGAACCCAGGTTCTA